GGAGAACTGGCATAAGGGTGCAAGCAAGGGCTGGGACAAGCTTTCGCAGCACGCTTGGTGTGGTCGCAAACTTTCAACCACTCTTCAGCAAACGAACCTTTGGGATATCTACCTCTTCCTAATATGGAGCAAGCACAACCCGAGTTCGAAGATCTGGGAGCAGTTCTCTGTACACCTTTATCCCAAGGTTGTTTTCTTGGCTGCTGGAGGCCTATGTCGATGAACTTGCCAACTTGCCACTGGCACCGCTTCCCCTTTTGAAAACCAAGCATGGAAACAGTCGACGAGTTCCGAAAGTGAACAAAATCATACTTTTACAACGCGTGAAGGCGCAAAAGCGCCACAGAGGAGAAGTCATGCAGACGCACACTGACTTGGCGCCACGTCAGATCGCACTGATACGAGCTGAGGCTAATTTGGAAGTGGCTGAGTATGTCAAGCTCTTGACGACCGAGCCTCGGCATCAAACTTTACGGCTCGCTGTTAAAACCCTAGACTCTAGACCCTTAAACCTAAACTTTAAAGCACTATTTGAAAATAGAGTTTAGGGGTTAAGCCCGAAACCCTAAACCACGTTTTCATTCTGATGGTTAGGCCTTGGGCAGGTAGGGTCTGTTTACTATTTATAAAAGTGGGTTATCTTGTAGGGTTTAGATATTAATTTAGATTATTCTAGAACTTGAAGAGGTGTTTTATTTGAGATTGACCGTTACGCTTTTGCCTGCCCTGCTATGGCCTGCTGAGCACAAAGGTTTTATGTTTCAGGGTGTTGTTGAATTGATATGAAATAGATCTTTAGGCTTCTGGATGTCAGGGCCTGCTTGCAAGAACTAACTTACCTTGTCAGGCCTTTGCCGACACGCAGCATGTCCAGGTGTCCTGGGATGCGTCAACCTATGATGTGGAAACTTTAGTGGCGATCGCATACGATTACAAGAAGAACGTGTCGGGCTACTTACCCATACAAAACATCAGCCCCGTCCAGACAGCAGAGTTGCACGAAACTGTGAGGACATTGGCTGTGCAAGGCCGGATCACACGTGTCGAGAGTTACAGTACAATGCGATCTTTCAGCCATGCCCTGAACTCAATTGGGCTTCCGCTTGCCGCCTTCGCAAAGCCTCCAGACCTACTTCTGGGGCCACTCCGGGCTGAGGAGGAACGGGTGCTGATGAACGGGACCTACTTCATTTATAATACCACGACACAGTCGATTCAAAGACAGGTACCGACTGCATGGAGTCTGGCGAAGCAGCCACTGTTGATCTCGGTGAGCGATCAGGGACCGCTGAACTGTCCTGGTCTCGATCACTTGCAGTTCAAGCTTCGTGGGTTCGTGCTTCCCTTGTATGATCAGAGTCATCGTACATGGAACGACTTGAAGTCGGCCATGAGGAGTGTGAAGCTCTTTCGCATCCTCCTGCAGTTCTCCATTCTCTACAACATGAATTATGGACCTGGAGGCACCAAGGCTTGGATGGCCAAGAAGCAACAGTATGCAGAGGAATTTAGAGCCAAACAGACAGCTGATGGCGAAATCTTCCTCAGCTACATGCCGTACATCTGCCATGAGATGGGCCTTTCGGAGCCAACGACTGCTGAGGAGAGGGAGGCACTCTTCGGGACGATCACTTCGCTGCAGACGCTGCAGCAGCATGGACCACTCGTCAAACTCATGAGATGGTTTTCTTACTTCCAATCGCACCAATTTTATGCTGGCGAACACTTCTGGACAAAGATGCTGATTGGGGAAGGTGGGCCGCCACAGCAAGGCATCCAGCCTGAGGCAGTGCTGACACCGGATATCTTGGCCGGCAATCTGGACGATCGAGAGGAGCTACGACAACTCAAGCTCAAGATGGGCTCATGGCGACTTGCACCGTTGCTCGTAACACCATGGACCTGGTGGAAAAACGAGCTTTTGGTTTCCATGGCGACGCCAGTCTGGAGCTGCTTCACACAGAAAGCACCTTGGGTTATTGCTAGTCGATGACATCAGCCCTGAAACCCTCAACCCCTCGAACTTCGGGGCCTGGCTCCGATAATAGCTGCACTTCCGCCAAAGACAAATTACCAGGCTTCGCAGACTACGCCTTCGATGAGTTCGTGCTGTAGTCGCTGCTGAACCTGTCTGAAATCAGCAGTCTGAAATCAGCCGTCTGAAATCAGCTTCGTCTGAAATCATCTTCGTCTGAAATCAGCAGTCTGAAATCAGCATAGCCATGATGCCTGCAGAACTTGAGTCCTGAAACCCTCAATCCCTCGAACATCTAGCTTCTCAATCCGAAGCAATGATTAACTCTTGATGCAATTGAGACCCTACCAAACCGCTCCAGGCCCAGCAGCTCAAGTTGCCTCACGAGATCGCCGGTGACATCGCCAAAAGAGCTGGGACCAAGCTCTGGGCCGAGGAGATCCACGCTGTGATCGGGAATGGCTTCTTTGATGGGCCTCAGAAACTGTACCCGGCTCGCTTTCTTTCAAACGAGGAGGAAGGACAGTGCATCTCTTTGCACTTTCGGTACCTCATGCAGCTACTTCAGCTGCCTGGCCTTTTTTATTTTGGTCCTCGACACCTAGTCAGGACTTGCTGAGCCTTACCATCCTTCTGGTTTGAGTCCATTTCAAGGTTTATAGGGTTTAAGAGTTTAAGGTTTAGGGTTTGGCGCTTAGGGTTTAGAAGGTTTAGGGTTCAGGGTTTACAGGGTTTAGAGTTTAAGGTTTAGGGTTGAGGCTTTAAGCCCCCACACTACCGAAGACTGAATAAGGAGACGTGCAGAGCTCCGCTTCGTACTACCTCCGACCGCCTTTTCGATATGCTGGGGCACTTCTTGCAGAAAGCAGGGAGACCACCCTTCGCCAGATGCATGCCGACTGGGCAGCCGTCTTGAAGGCCGAGAAAGCCATGGCTGGTGGAGCAGGCATGGAACCCCTGAAGGAGATGCATTGGCGGCTGAATTCCGTCAACAGGCTGATCCACTTGATCCGGGACATGGCCGAGGTCGCTTCAACAACAGCCGAACGCCGGGCCTACAACAACCAAGTGGTTGAGCTTCTGACCTTCGTCAGCACGCATCTTGCCGACACAGTTATCGTGGAAAATACACATCAGATGGCCAAAGACGCGCTCAGGGACGCACGCCACTTTCAAAAATCTCGGACAGGGAAGCAAGTTGCTTGCATACGCTGCAGTGCAATACCGAGCCGTGGTGTGCCCTGCTTGAAGGTGTCAGATGATCAGAAAGCCACTGCTTCTGCGGGCAAGTCCTCGAGCTTTGACAAGCTCACGCACCCCAACACCCATGCCTCCCGCCTCAATCTATGTCTGCAAACTCTAAGGCCCTAAGACTCTCAGGATCATTAAGGGCTCTATTTCCGACTACCCTAACTCCGCAAATCCTAAGGTCCGAAGACCTTAAAATTTGCTAAAGAAAGCTCTTCTTTGTCTTCGACTCAGGCTCTCAAAAAGGAGTTCCAGAGGCTCATGGAAACTAAAACGAAGCAGCATACGTGGCCGAGCACGACCCAGCAGATGGAGTGGCAGCAAGTTGTGGCTACAGAGTGGTTCCTCTGCTACATGCAAGATGAGGACAAGTTTGCAGCTGGCCCCAACTCTGCTTGGCTGTCTGTCTTGGCTGGGGCAGCAGGCGAGGTGGTAGCATGCCAGCGTGCAGGAGAGATCATGTTGATCTTGGCTGTTGGATCTTATGGCTTCGCTGCTTGGGACCTGGAGCTGGCGGCAGGAGTCCGCACGGCTGCTGGGATGTCGGCTTTCCGGCCCTACAGGCACAATGCCATCCGATTCCACCACATCACGGAGCTGGAGGACTGGGTTTCCGTTCCTGTCAAGCCTGGCCTGTCTGGCCCGCACGGCCCGCTGCACCTGGAACAGACCTCTGAGGCCATGTCGCTGCCCTTGGCTAGAATCCATGCCGGACTCAATCTGACATGCAAGCAGTGCCAGGACCTGTTGGCATTGTTCAAAGTCAACTTTCGCAAAAACCAGTCACGAGCCAGCTTGCACGGCCTAATCCTCGATCTTTTCTTGGAAACCGAGCACGAGAAAGAAGAGGCCAGGAGGAAGATGGCTGCCTGCTTGCTTCCACAAGAAGAAGAACACGCTGAGGACAGTGACATGGAGGAGTTGTTGGAACAGCTCGAGGATCTCGAGAATCAGGGCGACCCAGAGATCCAGAAAGAGAAGGAGAAGATCAAACAAAGGAGAACTGGACGGATCGCTGTCCCCAGAGCTGCTGGTCCCGACGAGGGAGAACAAGTTCCGAAACGGAAGGCTAAGGCCAAGGCTCCGCCAAAGCAACGGAAGAAAGGCTTGCTCGAGCCGAAGATGAAGGCTCATCTAGGGCACGGGTTTACAGGCTGAGGGCTTTGGATTTTGCTGGGTTTGGAGTTTAGTTTCAGAGTGAAGTTTAGCTAGCTCTCGGGCTCAGGGTGATTCTCTGCAGGCACGACGGAAGAAAACTCTGAAGGCCAAAACGGCAGCCCATCGCCGAGAGGAGGAAGCCAAGAAGAAGGAATCGAACTTGAAACCTTTTTGTTGCTTAGGGTCTGGGCTAGGGTATCTTGGGAACTAGGGTGGAGGTTCAGGTTGTTGGGTTTAGGGTTTCGTCTTGAAAGCTTTCAACCCTGAACCCCACACACAAGACCTGAAGCGCAATCTGGAAGGCCGAAATTGAAATGGACCAGGGAGCCCATGACAGAGATGAGGAAGCCATGTTTGCAGATGAGGAGGCCATCTTGACGGTGTCGAGCTGCTTAATTAGGGTTTGGGCTAGGGTATCTTGGGAACTAGGGTGGAGGTTCAGGCTTTTGGGTTTAATCAGGTGTTGCGGACTGAAGGCTCTCAACCCTGAACCCCACACCCAAAACCTGAAGCTCAATCTGGAAGGCCGAAATGGACCAGGAAGCACCTCGCAGAGAGGAGGAAAACATCTTTGCACAGGAGGAGGCCATCTTGACGGTGTCGAGCTGCTTCTGCTTTGGGCTAGGGTATCTTGGGAACTAGGGTGGAGGTTCAGGCTTTTGGGTTTAGGTGGTTCGGATTGAAGGCTCTCAGCCCTGAACCCCACACTCAAAACCTGAAGCTCAATCTGGAAGGCCGAAAGACCAGGAAGCCCATCGCAGAGAGGCAGAGGAGGAGGCCATCTTGACGGTGTCGAGCTGCTTCCGGTTTGGGCCAGGGTATCTTGGGAACTAGGGTGGAGGTTCAGGCTTTTGGTTTTAGGGGTTTTCGGTTTAGGTTTTTCGGTTTAGGCTTTAGGGCTCTCAACCCTAAACCCCGAAACCCTAAACCCGAAACCAAAGACGAAGCCCGCCGCCGAGAGGACAAAGCCATTGTCGAGTTTGAAACTTTTGTGTGATTTGTCTAGGGTTCGGGCTAGGGTATCTTGGGAGTTGTGGTGTAGGTTTGGTTAGTTTGGGCTTGGGCTTTCAACCCTCAAACCGAAACCCTATTCCCGAAAGCCAATCTGACAGGCCGAAGAAAAGGCCGAAGAGGAAGTTTGGGCTCGGGTATTTGGGGAATATGGTTCAGGTTTGTGTTGTAGGATTTCGGGTGTAGGCTTGAGGGCTCTAGGTGCTGGTGGTGCTGCTGGTGAGGGTGTGGCTCTATACTAAACCATCAATCCCCAACCCGAAGTACCAAACCCGAAACCCAACCTGGAAGGCTGATGAAGAGGAAGCCCATCGCCCAGAGGAGGAAGCCGAGAAGGAGTCGAGTAAGGCTTGAGGGCGCGAAACGATCTATCCCCAACCTTAAGTACCAAACCCAAATCCCAATCTGGAAGCCCCATATGGACCGTCGCCTACAAAAGGAAGCCTATTTGTGGTTTAGTGTTTGGGGGTATCCTAGGGCGAGGGGTTGAGGTTTTAAGGTTTCGGCTTGAGGGCTCCTCAACCCAACCCAAACCCCAAAGCCCGATCTGGAAGGTCGAAGACGAGGCCGCAGAGGAAGCCCGTCGCCGAAAGGAGGAACCCACTCTTTTTGTGCTAAGGTTTGGGCTAGGGTATTTTGAAGTATCTTGGTAATATGGTCTGGTTTGGGCTTTAGGTTTCAGCCTTCAGGGGCTTGCCTTTTGTGGGTCTAGGTATCGGGTTTCCAGTGTCGGGTGCTGAGTTCAGGCTGGCCCTCAGAATGCTGCCGCTTCCAGCAGCCTGCCTGCTCCCAGTGCCGGTCCTGCCCCATCCGATGCAGCCCTTGGGACTAAATTTTCTTTGCTCTATGTTGAGCTGCATATCAACTTGAGTTGTCTGTTTTGTGAATTGAAACTCCCTGGCTCCCTCAGACCTCGCCCCTAACACTATTCAGCTGAGGAGGATTCTGTGGTACCTGCTTCCAGTCGTCGGGGTGCACCGAAAATTCACAGCTCTCCAATGGAACTTCTTGACCAATTATGTGCTCCGCAAGCTCGCATGACTCTCAGGGTCAACGATTACAGATGGAACGTCGAGTTCAAGGCGACACACACATATTGGGTGGAAGAGTTTGGAAAGAAAAGCTTCTCGAAGACGTTCACCAAGCAAAATTGGCAGGATCCTCTCAGGCAGGTACACTGCCATATGTGGACCAAATGGGATCTTGCAAGGGATGACTTCCCGCTTGATGAAGGCATCGAAGAACAACACCCTGGTGTGGTGGACGCTGATGTTCTTCGGGGCCTGGCTCCGATAATAGCTGCACTTCCGCCAAAGAAAAACTACTAGGCTTCGCAGACTATGCCTTCGATGAGTTCGTGCTGTAGTCGCTGCACCTGTCTGAAATCAGCAGTCTGAAATCAGCAGTCTGAAATCAGCTTCGTCTGAAATCAGCAGTCTGAAATCAGCAGTCTGAAATCAGCATAGCCATGATGCCTGCCACTCCTCAGCCGAAGCGGCTTCGGGTCTGAAATCAGCAGTCTGAAATCAGCAGTCTGAAATCAGCATAGCCATGATGCCTGCCTCACTCCTCAGCCGAAGCGGCATTCCAACTAACCGAACGGGCGGGAGGAAAAGAGCAAATGGGGGAGGCCGCTAACCCATGATTAGGTTATATCTCTTTCTGCTGAGCACATGCTTTCTGTTCTCTTGGATCGACGACAGAATGACACTGCCCATGGCTCTCTCGAAAGCGTTTGCTTGGACGGCACACTAGCAATGAGTTGAGGTTTTGCATTCCGGGTAAAGTGTTCTCTCGAAGAATGTCATGTACTTGGTCCCTTGTCACGTGCCATGTCTTGGTTGGCTTGCTGCTTGCTTTCGACTCGCCCTACCCATCCTGCATGCCCCAGCTCCGTGGTCTTACAGACCGCGCTCCAGTCGGGCTCGGACCCGAGTTACGGGTCCTTGACCGTGCGGGACAGTGTCGTTGGCCGGCGCTGGGGATTTATTCTGTCTGTGCTCGCCTAGCAAAGTGGTGTGCCCACGGCAGGTGATTCAGCGCAGATTGCAGGGAAGGCCCGACTACTAAATACTATGCCACGTACCCGCGCCCGCGGGCAAAGTCTTGAAGCACTTTGCCCATCGCTGGAAGTTGCCCGCGTGGCCCTGCATGGCATCTTATGTCACACCAACCTTACCAACAAGTCGCGGTGTGTCCAGTTTTGATTCACCAGCCGCGCTTGCATGCCGATGGCCGGGCATGGGGTCGCTTTGGGGGACCGCGGAAGACGGAACCGACGAGGACTTGGGGCCAACCACCAGAGCGGACACCTGGTGATGACAGCCAGCCACATGGGCTAACGTGCTGGCTGGGTCCGAGCTCGGCACCCGAGTGTCCACCTCAGCAACATGGGAGGCCAAATATCGAGCAGTAGTACAGTAATTAGAGTGTCAGTCGAACCTCCTCGGGGTTGCCTTACCTAAGGAGTAAACCCCTGCCCCATCGGGGTTGCTCCCCACACCATTGGCCAGGTGTGAGGCGTTCGGTTTGCCTGTGTCACAGCCTTGAGGCCAACCTATCCCAGGGGCAGGGGATAGATGACAGCCGGGCACATGGGCTAATGCGCCGGCTGGGGCCTGACCTGGTGACATCGAAGCAGTCATGCAAGTCACCGGAAGCAATACCGGACAAAGAAGGGAGGCCGTTCTTGGGACATGGCTGTGTTGTTGAGCTGGTGTGTTCCTCCGTCTCATTCATAGTAGAATGTTGTTTTGTTAGCCAGTTGTTTAAGATTATAGTGAATTCTTTGTCACACCAACCTTACCAACAAGTCGCGGTGTGTCCAGTTTTGATTCACCAGCCGCGCTTGCATGCCGATGGCCGGGCATGGGGTCGCTTTGGGGGACCGCGGAAGACGGAACCGACGAGGACTTGGGGCCAACCACCAGAGCGGACACCTGGTGATGACAGCCAGCCACATGGGCTAACGTGCTGGCTGGGTCCGAGCTCGGCACCCGAGTGTCCACCTCAGCAACATGGGAGGCCAAATATCGAGCAGTAGTACAGTAATTAGAGTGTCAGTCGAACCTCCTCGGGGTTGCCTTACCTAAGGAGTAAACCCCTGCCCCATCGGGGTTGCTCCCCACACCATTGGCCAGGTGTGAGGCGTTCGGTTTGCCTGTGTCACAGCCTTGAGGCCAACCTATCCCAGGGGCAGGGGATAGATGACAGCCGGGCACATGGGCTAATGCGCCGGCTGGGGCCTGACCTGGTGACATCGAAGCAGTCATGCAAGTCACCGGAAGCAATACCGGACAAAGAAGGGAGGCCGTTCTTGGGACATGGCTGTGTTGTTGAGCTGGTGTGTTCCTCCGTCTCATTCATGCCTGTTATCACAGAGAACCTTGCTGTTGGGTTGTCTTTGTCGAAGGCAGAGTGCCAACATGTTCAGAATGGGGTTTGGTGTATGTTGCTCTACCAAGCGGCAGCTGCATGCCCGCCAGTTTTGGCAGCTACACTGAGCACATCTGGCGGTTTCAGCTGGGGGAAACAAGCACAAGTCTAGAAAAGTGTTTGAAGTTCTCCGCAGATACAACGAAGAATTTCGAATAATAAACCTCGGTGTTCCATTTTGGCAGGTCCTCGAGCCGTGCCAGGAAGCTTAAACCATGAGCCCTAAACTTCCCTAAACCGTGTTTAAGCTTCAAATTGAAACCCACAATCTTCCAAATAATTTGAGTGTCCACCTCAGCAACATGGGAGGCCAAATATCGAGCAGTAGTACAGTAATTAGAGTGTCAGTCGAACCTCCTCGGGGTTGCCTTACCTAAGGAGTAAACCCCTGCCCCATCGGGGTTGCTCCCCACACCATTGGCCAGGTGTGAGGCGTTCGGTTTGCCTGTGTCACAGCCTTGAGGCCAACCTATCCCAGGGGCAGGGGATAGATGACAGCCGGGCACATGGGCTAATGCGCCGGCTGGGGCCTGACCTGGTGACATCGAAGCAGT